AAATTAAAAAAAAAAAATGGCTTTGAGTAGAAAGAGAAAAAAACACCCTTTACCAAAACCTGACAAGGATATTACAAGAGAAAAATAAAAAAAACACTACCAATATTCCTTATAAATATATCTGAAAAATTTTTGACAAAATATTACTAAATTGAATCCAGCACCTGATAAATCCTATCACAACAAAGTGGGATTTATCCCAGGAAAGCAAGATGGGTTCAACATACGAAAATCAATTAATATAATAAACCATACTAATAAAATAAAGGACAAAGGCCACATGAACATCTCAATAGGTGCAGAAAAAGCATTTGAGAAAATCCTACCCACTTTCATAATGAAAAGTATCAAACACCCAACAAACTTGGAATAGAATGTAATTTTACCAATTTGATGAAGGGTGTATACAAAAAGACCCCACAGCTAGCAGCATCCTTTGTGTTGAAAAATTGAAAGTTGTCTCCCTAAAATCAGAAAGAAGATGAGGGTGCCCACCCTGAGCATTTCTCTTTCCCATTGTACCAGAGTGGGCAGGGTGCGCACGTGAGAGAAAGATATAGAAGGCTTCCTGATGAGAAAGGAGAAGTAAATCCATCTCTATTCACAGATAGCTTGGTCTTATATTAAAAAAATCCTAAAGAATTCACATAAAAAAACTATTAGAGCAAATAAATGAATTTGTTAAGACAGCAGCATACAAGATCTAGATACAATAGGAATGAACAATTTGAAAATGAAATAGAGAAGACAATTTCATTTTTCAATAGCATCAAAAGAAATAAAATACTTAGAAATAAATTTAACAAAAGAAGCATAAGACTTGTATACAAAACACCTACACCAAAGGTAAAGACATCCGGAGTTCATGACTTGAAACACTTTATATTGTCAGAGGCAATACTCTCCAAATTGATCTATAGACTCAATACAATCCCTACCTAAATTCCTCCTCCTTTTGACAAAAATTGACAAGCTGACCCTAAAATTCATGTGGAAATACAAGGGGTCCAGAATAGCTAAAACAATCTTCAAAAAGAAGAACAAAGATCAAGAACTCACACTTTCTGATTTCTAAACTCACTTCAAAGCTACAGTAATAAAGATTCTGTGGTATTGGCAAAGTGTAGACATTTATGCCTCTAGAATAGAACTGAGAGTCCATGAATAAACTCAGACATCTACGGGCAATTGATATTGATAATGATGCCAAGAAAATTCAAGAATAGTATTGGGACAAATGGAAAAACAAATGCAAAAGAACGAAGTTGACCCTCTACCTTACACCATATGATAATTCATCCAATGGATTAAAGACCTAAATATAAGAGTTAAACCTACAAGATTCCTATAAAAATATTGACATAAATCTATAAATCAGTGTGACCTTGGTTAGGCAATGGTTTCTTAGACATGACATCAAAAGCACAAGAAACAAAAGATTAATTAAACTTCACCAAAATTAACAACTTTTGTGCTTCAAAAGACAGCATCAAGAAAGTGAAGTGAAAAACCCACATATTGGGAGAGATATTTACAAATTATATATTTGATAAAGAACAACTATCCATAATAAATAAGAACTATTATAATTCAACAATAAAATAACAACCAATTTAAAAATGGGCAAATGATCTCAAATAGATATTTCTCCAAAAAGGATATATACATATCTAAGAAGCACATGGAAAGATGCTCTACATCACTGGTTATGAGCGAAATGCAAATAAAAGCCACAAGGAGAGACCACTTCAGTGAGAGACCAGAACTGTAACAAAAAAGATGGGCAATAGCAAGTGTTGGCACAGACGTGGAGAGACTAGATTCCACACGCACCGCTGGTGGGAATGTACAACTGCAGTACTCGAGATGTAGAGCGGGGACTTACCACGTGACCCAGTAATTCCAGTCTTAAGCATATGCCCAAGATAACTGAAAATACATATCCACGCAAAAATGTGCACGTGAGCCAAAAGTTTATGGCACCCAGGTATCTATAAATTGATGAACAGATCAACAAACTGCAGTGTATCCAAACAGGAGAATATTATTCAGCCATAGAAAGGAATGAAGTACTGATTCATGCTACCGTGAACCTTGAAAGTGTTATGCAAAGAAGCCAGACACCAGGGCCACGCGTTGTAGGATTCCATGTGCATGAAATGTACAGAATAGGTAAATCTGTACATGGAGCAAGCACAACGGTGGTTCATGGAGCGGGAGGCACCTGGGGAGGCCTTGCTAATGGGTACAAAGTTTCTTTCTGGGGTGACAAAAATATTCTGAAATTAGATAAGTAGTGACGGTCACACAACTTTGTGAATCCACTAAAAACCTTTGAATTGTGTACTTTAAAAATGAACTTTATGGTATGTGAATTATATCTCAATTTTTTGAAAAAGAAAGAAAATGCTCTATGAAAGCCTAAATAAACCATACAAGATGGCCATAAGCAACTCTGTGAAGGGAGGAAAAGCATTCTGGGTACGTGAGTTCTGGTGGATTAAAAAGATACATTTAATGTAAAAAAACGCTCCTGCTCCACTGCCTTCTATGCTGACCTAATAACCAAGTATTCTATTCATTAAATACGGATTTGACATTATTAGTCAATTTCTTATGGGGCATTATATGATCATGGGTATAAATGACCCTCAACACTCGTGGTTTTCTTGATTATTTCTTTCGTATGCTAAATGTCCCTAATGGAGACTAGCAGTCCCTACCATGTTTTATCTTCTTTCTTTATAAATAAAGGGTTGCTGTGGGAGGTAGACATCATACATGAAAAATGCAAGCTGGCTCCAGGGCAGGTAATGCCAACTGATGAATGAATGATTTGTAAGAACTAGAGGTAAATTCCTGCCCCAAAGCTGACTTTGTGTCTACCATGATCCAAAGCTTATACCTAAATCTGGGCCTTAGATAATTTTTACTTCTTTTCTTTTTTTTTTCTCTCTAATGGATTTAAAGCTAGGCGCCCCCCTATCCCCCCCACCTTTTTAAAGTTTGGTTAGTTTTAATTGTGAAATGGCCTCATTTTCCTGAAAACTCCTGTCCTTCCTGGACGGCAGGTTTGCTAGTCTTAGGAAGATTTACAGGTTCAAACCGGGCCCAGGCCTGCTAGACAACAATGAAAACTGCAACAAAAAAATAGCTGGGCATTGTGGCAGGTGCCTGTAGTCCCAGCTACTGGGGAGGCTGAGGCAAGAGAATCGCTCAAGCCCAAGAGTTTGAAGTCGCTGTGAGCTGTGACTCTACCCAGGGTGACATAAGGCTCTGTCTCAAAATAATAATAACAATAATAGAATCAGAATGAGGTCAAGTGTTAATTAATAGTTGTGTTACTAAGATTCCAGCCTTTCTGCTCCTTCCCTGCTCTCCCATGTTTCAGGATCACACATCTCCTAAACCCAGAAAGACTGGCAAAGGCCTACCCTAGCCTGTATTTTCTCTCTGCTTTTGACATCAAAAGCTCTGAGCTTCTCTCAACTATAACAGGAAGGTTACAGTTGTGCCTGCTCCATGCCACAGCGATCTGTTGAAATAGTCAGCCTTTGTGCTTTTATTTGGGATCCAAATATTTAGTTTTGAGAGATAGATTTTATCTTAGAGTTAAGTTCACTTCCTCTCTGGGCCATGCCAGATGCCACTTTGCATGCTGGCCCCTGGCTTGCTGGGTCTCTCTTTGTGTGTTTTCTTCCAGTTGCACAGACTTATTTTTAACTCCTCAAGGGAGCATTGCCAAGGCCCTTCCTGGGCAGTGGAGGACGGCCAAGGTGCTTAATGGGTAGCAGTGTGAAGAATTCACATGCAAAAATGAGCCCTGGACATCATTCCTGCTTAATGCTGGTCTACAAATGAATTATAAGTCTACTCTGAGTTCAAATAGACTGGAGAAGCTCATCATTGAAAGCAGTCCTAAGAGAAATGCTTTTTACAAGTAATGAGTTCAGCTAATGGGTTTTGCTTTGGCAAAACAAAATCGAGAGCCATCATTTAACTTTTTGGAAATTTGTATTTGTATCTATTGGTTTTTCTTTTCTTTTCTTTTCTTTTTTAACATTACAATTTCATTACCTTACTCTTCTGAAGGTCACTGGGTGACCTTTGGGTTTTGTTGGGCCACAATCCGTGTGTTGGCAGAGATGTGCTAGTATGTCTCCTTGCCTTTTTAAACTCTAGATGTCACCTGCATTCTTTGGCTCCTGGGGCCTTCGTTCATCTTCAGAGTCACCAGTGGCCAGAGGAGTCTTTCTCATATCACATCACTCTGACCTCGGCCTCCCCTATTACATCTTCTTCTCTGATTCTTTTTTAAATTTTATATTAATGTGAAGGTACAAACAAGTAGGTTGCAGTGTTTGCATTTGTCAGGTCGAGTCCCTGTTGTAGTTGTGTCCCACACCCGAGGTGCACCATACACCCTTACGCTGTGCCCACTAAGTGGGAGTGTGCCTTTCCTTCCCTCTCCTCTCCTTTCCTTGAATATTAGTTTTTCTTAAAGGAAGGTTTACCTCCGTTTAGAAAGAGTAAGAATTTTCTGTGTAGGGACTTAAAGTATCAAATCTTTATGGCTTAATTTGGCTTCTGATCAGAACTATATCTGTCTTTGCTCAATTACATAAGCCATATTGGTTTTGGAAAAATGACAGCTCTGTACTCTTAGGATGGAATAAGATTTGGGGCACATTTTCTACCAAGGAACCTTATTGTGCTTCCTCCCCCGCCCTGAAAACTGGTTGTGGTCTGAGGCTGGATCAGGGGACCTGGGGACTCCAGGTTGGTCCAACGAAGGCCTCAGAAGTTAGTTCATTTCAGTCAGCAGTGAGACTAGGGTTATTTCCTCTTGGACTAACCTCTACAGGTACATTAGACAAGTCATCCAAGTGGTTGGGGCCTGACCCTAAAGTCAGACCACCCAGGTTCAACCAAGCCCTTCTCACTGTAGCTGCCAAGAACCCAGTGGGGGCAGAAGGGGTGGTGGAGACACAGCTGCTCACCTGGGGAGGAACACATCCATCCTGGCTCTCCTCAGGCTGCTGGTCCAGAGGTGGATGATGCTGGCTGTGAGGTGTGGCTCAATGTGGCCCAGGGGAACATCTTTGTCACGGGGCAGCAGCAGGAACAGACTCCCCGTACTTCCCAGGTAAGGTAGCTCCAGAACCCCCACCTGATGGCCTGCGGCATCCTGGAATTGACCTGCAGGTTCAGTGGGTGGGGGATGAGCTCTGTCTCAGGAGCCAGGGCAACCCACACAGTTGACCCAGGAGAGGCTGGCTTTTCAACACAATGAACCCAGGCACCTCTCCTCAGAAGGCTGCTGGGAGGCCAAAATCTGTTGGGTGATTTGGTCACTTTTTCTGATCCTAAGACCTGGAATCTGAGTGTTTCAGTCAGCGTCCTGGCAGGGATGGGGGCCATGGTAGGGATGATGGCACATGGGAAAGCTATACAGCAGTCGCCGTTAGCCTCAGTACACACGGCCAGGACGACCTGTGGACCAAACCCTATACATACCCTTTCTAAGTGACTAGCGGGTATCACAGACAGTGTGCAGGCGGGGACCAGGCTCATGTCCGGGGGTGGGAAAGTTGGGACAGAGGGGGACGGTGTGAGAGTTCATGCTGCTCGGAACAGCGAGCAGCATAAAATTAAGAAATCCTTGTTTCTGGAATTTTCCATTTATTATTTTTGTTTATGGGTAACTGTGACCTTGAAAAATGCCACCTCATACTTATTGGGGGGTGCTCCGGTCTTAGAGGGACAGCCAGTCTGATCCCAGGCTGTCGCGCCGCGCTTTTCCCAATATGTTGACTTCCGGTGAGCCCCTCCCTTACTGCAGCAGAAGCGTGGGAGTGGGGTGTCCTGCACGATAGCCCCTCAAATGTCGCGGAGGTGCATGGTCCACCCGGTCCCGGAAGGCTCCCAGGCCCCTGGTCTTTCCTCCCACCACAGGCTTGGTCCAGCAGGTGGACCGTGGGAACGCTCTCTCGTCTGTGAGAGCGGGGACCTGGCCTCCTGCCCAGCCTCCTCCCCTTTCCCTGCCAGCGGGGAAGGGCTCACCGTAGTTGACCTCGGCCATCTGGTGCATCGTGGGGACCTGGAGGACCAGACCGTGGGCACAGGTGAAGGGCAGGAGCTGCGTATCTGTGGGGTAGAACCTCTTCCGCCACGTGCCCTGAAAGGTCATGGTGCTGACCAGTGCCAGCTGAGCCCAGGCCGCGCCCTGCCCTGCAGGCGGGAAGCGGGGTTGAGGTTAGCCCGTGTGTGTGGATGCGGACTGCAGAGGCGCAGTGCGAAAATCGAGGTCTGTTTTTGGAGAGGTGGTTTCTCTTTCTTCGTTTTACCATGTCTTTACACTTTTCTTTAAAATGTTTGATTTTTGACCAGCTGCCAGGGCCAGGGCCGCAGAAGCTGCTTGCAGCTCCTTGCTCAAGAGCAGGATAGGGGAGGAATGGCAGGTGAGAACTTAGAAGTTGGCGGGGTCCCTGACGCCGCCAATGGGCGCAGGGAGGGGCGGCTCCCTGCAGCTGGGTGTGCAGTCCTCTTACCACAGGTGTTGCCGCCAGCTGTTGCCAGAGACAGATCAGGATGCTCCCCTGATTCTGTCCAGGGCCATTTTCCAGGAATCGGGAGATATTTTCTCCCCAGGCTCCCACCTGGAGGGACTCAGTGCTGTGATGGGGAGGTGCTATGTGTCACCCCAGTCTGCCCAATGGCCACTGCTGAGCCGCCCCTTCACCTGGACCACAGTGTTGAGGGCACCGTGTTCCCAGGGCGGCAGTTACAGCTTGATGCAGAGGCAGGCAGGGGAGCAGACAGCTGGCCCTAAGGGAAGGTCCGCCCAGCCCCTGATTTGTTTGCTGGGCCCTGTCTACCTGCTTTAACAAGTCCTCACAGCTCCTCCCAGCAGTTCTGTTGTTATCCCCCATTTCACAGACATGGGAACTGTGACCCAGAGGAGCTGGCCAAGGTCACATACCTGTGAGGGGGCAGCCACATCCACCCAGGTGCCCCTGGCAGAAACCCTGGGTTTGAACCCAGCGGCCTGACTCCAGACTGCTTTGCACAGCATAGGAAGCTGACGCAGAGAATTAAGCATTATGAAGAAAATGAAAAGACTTGGTAAAACAGAAAGAGAGAGAGAGAGAAGGAACCTTATCAAAGAAGATCTTCATTTCTGTGTTTTAACTCAGGGCTTGTCTATACACACACGGCGTTTTCAGTTCTGTCACTGTGTCCAAACCTATCACTTTCTATTCTGTTTTTTAAATACATTGGGTCTTTATATCTGTGTAGCTTTTGTAATTATCAAGCATGCTGGAGCCAAATCACTGGGCAGAACCCTGGCTTTGGAGGGGCTGGAGGCTTCACCCTCTGTGCCTCTTTTTCCACTTGTAAAAAGGGCACAGCCCAGGCTGTTTGTAAGTCTTTTTCTTCAATAACACTGGGCTAAACATCTTTTTGCATATGACTTTTTCTTCTCTTGAATTATTTCTTTAACCTGAGTTCCCAAGAAGCCACTTTTTTGGCTCCCACTGCATTTTGCTGCTATCAGGAGTTACACATGAGAGCAGGGCTCAGCAAGAACTCGCCTGGGAGACAGGTGCATGAGCAAAGCCTGTGTGGTCTCCCTAAACATGGGAGGCTCAAACAGCATGCTTCTCTCTCTCTGTGTGTGTGTGTGTGTGTGTGTGTGTGCGCACGTATGGATATTCACACATGGGAGGGCTGGAATGGGACAGAGAGGAGGGCCCCACAGGCCAGCTTTGGCTGCTTCCCTGAGTGTGTCACCCCACGGCAGTTTCCCAGCAGGACACACTCCTGCTGCCACTGAGCGGCCTGAACACCCCTGGCATCTGACCAGTGACAGGTGAGACTCTGCCTTTGCAGCCCTCTGATCCGAACCTCGTGGATATGGATAGTTTTCTCTTACCTGCTGTCTGTCTGGAGGCCTTGTCCTTGGCTGGGATGGCAGTACCATTGAGCTCACTGAGGTTGGCTGGCTCCAGGCTGCTGTTGGCCCACCCCGAGACCTGCTCCACAAAGCAGGGGGACAGTGCTGTTCCCACTTGCACAAAAAGGCTACAGGCCAGCTCTATCTCAGCATCTTGGCTGCAATTGGGTAGCGTGGCATAAACAGCATGCAAGAAATCTTTCACCTTTTGGTCTGTGAGAAAGGAGGTGGGATAAGTTGACGGGGGTAAGTGTAAGGACAGCACAACCTCTGTCAGCACATTCCATTGAAAAGGGACCTCAGCAACTCCACGCTTGTTTCATAAGGTTCATCCACCATCTGTAGTCAGTCTGGAAAAATCATAGTTAAACTACTCAGAAATCAAACTGGAACCACAGATTAAAACTTGGGAAGAAACCATACCAGATCTGAAAGAAATCAATCTGCAATTAAGTCAAATAGAAAAACACTGTCCACACCCCGAGTATGAACAGGGCCTATTCTTTCCTAACCTCCTGATTCAGGAACATAGATGGGTTCTAGGGTGAAGATTCTAGGGCCAGGAAAACAGCAGGTCCAGTGAGCAGGCTGATGGGATTTTTGTGCAGTGTCATGACACTGATGGGGGTAGCCAGGACATTGTGCTGTCCATGTATCTGACACAGGGACCTTACATCCATTCCCACAGCTGCACACCGTGAGCCCGGGTCACATGTAGATGCAGCCTCTTCTATAACTATGTTTTTATTTTGAGAAAGTGAGAAGTCCTCCTACCTCCACATCCCTGAGACCCAGCAGACAGCTCACTTCATTACTGTCAGCGAGAAACTGTGAGGACATTGAGGAAATAATAAGCATTTGACAGCGTGGATAGCTTCCACCTCTGTGGGTGACAGATGGACTTCTATGCATTCACTATCTATTTATACAGGAGATTGCTGCCTTCTCTCTGGAATCAATAGTGGGTTTTATTTTCAGCTATTATAGACTGCATCTCATAGCTGGAATGAGGCCTCCTGCCCACTGGTGAGTCCACAACACAGGTGAGTGCCCCAAGCCCTGCAGCCCGGCACACGCAAGCTGGGGGTTTCCAGAAGTGAAGTGCCCTGCTGTGCAGCTGTCCGTGAGATTCCACCTTCTCCACCTCCTCCATCTCCTCCTCACCTCTCCCCCTTCTTAGGCGCAGTCCTGTATCTGTCCACCAACCCTTCCTGTAAGACAAGGCTGGGTACCTCTTCCTGCACCATCTGGCCCCAGCTCTCTCTCACTGGGATTAATCTCTTACTTGCCTTCATGTCGCAGCGTCCATGCCGGGAGACAGCAGTAGACCCCTGAGTTACTTGCCCAATGTCCACTGGCTGGGGCAGGGGAATCCAGAATGCACCCCAGACGGGGCCTCCAGTCACTAGGCTGCAGACCATGGTGTCAGGCACATGTCGCTTGTCTACAAACATTCACTACCAAAGCAGCTTCTTAGAATCCACAACCACAAAAACCTGACTCAGAATACAGATTTCACAGGTCACAGACTAAGTGCTTGCCTTTTTTATTGTAGTGAGAAAAGAGATAACAAACATGTTTATAATCAGATTGCACTCTATTGAGGAAGGTCGTATGTACTTCTAGGCTCACATTCTTGCAAGGTACAATTCTCTTCTGTAGGCAGAAGAGAATTGAAATATTTTATTGGTCCATAGTGTAATGGTATAAAGTGACCTTGGGAATGATCATAGAACTCCTCTCTCCATCTTCCCACCCTCTCTGGGCCAGGGAACCAGTGTTCTCTTAGCCAGAAACATTGAAACAGCAGAGTAAATTGGCTCGAAGTAAATGTTTGTGTGAAATCCTTTCTCTGTCTGAGCTTGGTTTGTCTGTGCCCATTCGCACAAAGGAAGAGCTTTGCTGGCCCCACTGGGACATGCATAAAAACACTGAAGACTGACCGTGTTCATAGTACTTGCTGTGTTCTCTGCCCCAGTCACACGAATACTTCAGCAGCCTGTGAACTAAATGCCACTGTTGTCCCCAGCTTATAGATGAGGGGCCAAAGCCCAGACAGATCAGCAAACTTGCCCAGTGTCACCCAGTCGTAGGTGGTGGGGCTTCATTGCCCTGCCTGGCCACAGGGTAGAAAGACCCCACTCAGAAGAGCTTCGTTCTTGGAATGGACGTGGGGCTGTGCAGCTTGCAGCCTCCTTTTTTTGTTGTATTTACTGGATTCCTAGATTCTCATCTAGGAAGGTAAAAATTCTGTGTGTGAGTGTTGGTCTCAGCATGGAGCTGGTAGGTTGGTGCTGAGTCCCTGTGTATAGACCAGGGGATTCCAGCTGCTGCTGCTGGGCCTGTTCTAAAATACATAATCCATAGAACTAAGAGGGCAGGTGTGTCACTGACTAGAAGTCACAGATTCACAGACTCAGGCTGGTCAGAAGCATGGGCTCTGGAGCTGCACAGGCCGGGGGGTCCTCCCCTGTGGCTTGCTTCTGCTATAACCTCGAGCAAGTCACTTCGACTCTCTGAATTTGTTTGCCCATCCCTAAAATAGGGATGAAAATTACCAGTCTCATCAGGGGAATTGTGACAATTAATTAATATTTGTTTAGGGGCTGCAAACATTGCCCAGCACCTAGGAAGCCCTATGAAAAGGTGTCTGGGCTGGGCAGTGGCTCAAAGGAGTAGGGTGTCAGCCCCATATACCAGAGTTGGTAGGTTCAAACTCAGCCCCGGCCAAAAAAAAAAAGAAAAGGTGTCTGGGCCGGGCAGTGGCTCACACCAGTGACTGGCACTCTGGGAGGCCAAGGAGGGAGATTTGCTTGAGGGTGGGAGTTCAAGACCAGCCTGGGCAACACTCACTAACACGGTGAGACCCGGTTTCTTCAACAAATAGGAAAATTAGCTAGGTATGGTAGCATGTGCCTGTAGTCCCACCACTTTGGGAGGTTAAGTGGGAGGATTGCCTGAGCCCAGGAGTGTGAGGTTGCAGTGAGCAACAATCATACCATCACACTCTGCCATGAAACTGCAACATTGCCAGGAAGCCTGTGCGATTAGAAGGGAAGTCTGAGTGCTTTCTGTGGCAGTCTGCTGAGTGGTCGCCCTTCCCTGTGTGTGTATCTGGGAGCTGAGCCCGCACCTCCCCAGGAGCCCACGTGGGAGAGTGAGTGTGAGTGTGTGTGTGTGCAGGCCTCTTACCTTGCACAGTATACCCCAGGGCATCTGCCAGCTGCTGGCCAGTGTTCCCTTCAGCTCCAAACTGCAAGATCTCCAGGGGCAAGGACACACCAGCAGGAGAGATGACAAAGTTCGTCCCATTTCTGCCTCCTGCCACGTTCTGGTAGAGGCGAAGTGCAAACTCCGTTTTCAGCAGTGTGAGGCCTTCACGGAGGTGGCTGTCCCCTCGGAGGAAGGAGGAGTGAAGAAGGAAGAGGGTGACCAGAAGAGGCGTCATGGAGGCTGGGAGCGACCCTGCAGTTCAGAGGGGCAGATGCAGGTGAGGCCAGAGGACAGCAATAACAGAGGGTCATATCCCCCCGAAGACTGAGATGTCAGCTCTGTGCTCAGGGGCTTGACAAGCCTGAGCTGTGGGGCTTACCCACTCCTAGTCCCACCTGCTCAGGCTGCATTACTATTTCCTATTGTGCAACGTTTAAAATACTCACTATGATCGTTTTGAGAGCCAAACTGTGGCCAGAAGGCTTGCTTCTGTTACCACCTAGATGTGTGACTTTGGCAAGAGCCTGGTAGGCTCAGAAGTAAGCTATTATTATGTTGGGGGAAAGTGTGAGAAATAATCCTACTCATTTTTCTTGGTATTTAGCTAGCTTATAGCTGTGCCATGTCTATCAGGAATCATAACAAAAATAAATAATTATCTACCACGTAAAAAGAATTTTGTACATTATCGTTAATCATTCCAACAATCTCACTCAGTAGCTATTATATTTCCACTGGAGAGGTGAAGACTGAGAGGCTGAGGGCTGCAACTCAAACCCAGATCTTGTGCAGGTGGTGTAGATGCTACTGAGAACACCTGTGTGCATTAAAACGCCAACACCAGCCAAGCGTAGCCAGGATATCAGAATTCTTGTGATGTGAACTATTCTCGTAAAAAAAGAGGACACATTCACAAAGATAGATGTACCCTTCTAAGGAAGAGAGCATTAGCCAAAAAATAGTGCAAGAATAGAAAGTCAAGGCAAAACATGTGTGCAGCAGTCACGCCACACGTCCAGCCAGTGGCAATTTCACTAAGTTGTCTAACTGTGGTATCACACCTGATGGATGGGAGAGGCCCAGTCCAAGGTCACTTTCTATAGAGGTTTGCGAGCAAGGCTACTGGGCTTGACGTGCGTATTTTCTTTCTTTCTTTCTTTTTTTTTTTTTTCATGTTTTGGATAAAGGCGTTAAGACAGCAAAGCAAAGCATCATCTTTTTTCCAACCCCTCCTCCTCACAGCCAAGCACAAATGCAGTGTGCTGGCTGATCAGGTGCACGTGAGTGAGTGAGTGTGTGTGTTTGGGGGTGGCAGGTCTCAGCACAGGGCCATTTGTGAAAGCCTCCAGTCCCAGTGCTCTGGCAACTCCTATCCCCTCCCAGAAGTGCACTCACAGCAATCAGACCTTGACAACTTGGGCTCCCATGAGCAAATCCCCTCCATGCCTCACCTCGGATGAGCTGCTGACTCCTAGCTCCCCTGTCAGACTGTTGACGTCTCCTTGCTTGATCCTGCCGTTGTGGGTCTCCTGCATTTATATGCTCCCCTTTTAAAAAAGTGGAGCAGAATCTGCTTTGAATCACAAGACAGCGCAGAGAGGAAGGTGGTGATTGCCGTCTCTGCCGGCGATATCTCTGCCACTCAGTCCAAATTCCTGGAGCCTGGAGGTCCTGCAGGGAGCCAGGAGAAGCAGCCCAGCCCGGGCAGCAAAGCCCAGATCCGGACAGAACAGGGTCCTGGGGAGGGAGCCAGCCACACCCGTCAAGCCTTCTTAGGCTTGTGACCTGGTTGTACCAGCAAGGAACCCCTCATCGGCCCTTTGTCACATTGAGGAATTCCACTGATAACTCTGCTTACGGGGCTTTTGCTGGGTACCAGGTACCTAATGCTACCCCCTCCTCCTGTGAAGAAAACAATAAATCAGTCATTGGGCATGACTTGAAACTTGTAGCAAATGAAATTCTTCAAAAGAAAGAGAAAATAACGCAGGATATGGCATGTTTAGTTTAGAACAGGGTGACTTGCTTTATTTATTATTAATAAAAGTGTACTAATTTATTTATATGTGATAGGAGCACCACGAATAATCTTATTCTTCTCAGATGCAACAGTAATAAGCCCAATGACTAATTTGAGACAGAGACCATGTTATCGTCCAATAACTGCACATTTTTTGAAAGTGTGAGCAGGTTATCAAAGGTTGTCCTTGTGACCAATTCAGAATGACATATATTCTCTTTAGGTCTTAGGCCTCGTATTAAGTTCAAAATAGATAGTAGCTTCTACAAGTGTGTTTTTAAAGATGAAAGAAAAGAAGACATTTAGAAATGGATACAGTTCTCTTGGGCACCTGTCAGTGTTAGGACTGTTTTTCAGCTGACAGCTATCCTTTCAAGAGTTTTGTTGCTAACACACAAGGCTGGGACAGTTTATAGGCCTTAGGATAGTTACAGTTCTGTCATTCTGTAATTGTTTCACATGAAGTTGCCCCAAGAGAGGGGAGTAAATGATTCCCTGATCCTCTAGTACCCAGAGAAGGCATAGCATCCATTCATCACCCATACGTCCATCCTGCCCTCATACATTCATCCAAAAAATATCTACTGCCTGCTTGCTGGGTTATGAGCCACTGTGATGGGCCCTGGGGTACGGCAGTGAACTTGCAAGCTGCACCCAGCACTTACGGGAATCTTTTCCACCAAAGACATTAAGAGGAAAGTAACGTGTAATGCTGTGAGTTCCCTCTGCCTGGAATTATTTGAACAGAAGCTGATTCACTATCTGCCAGCCATGGGGGCAGAGAGATGCTTGTACAATACATTCCCTAAATTATGGAAAGGGTCATCTGTGTGACTTCTACGAACATTCCTTCCTAACTAAGTATATGCCATTCTAAATTGCTTTTCAAAAACATTCTCAAGGAAAAATGCTAAGGAGACTTAGACTTAACATACAAGAAATATTTCCTACCTACGCTGACCATTTCAGTGTGAATGAACGAAGGATGAACTGCCACCAGTTTTTCCTTTGTGTGATCAGCTGTGAGCCTGGGTCAGTCATTCTGGTCTCTGACCATTCAAGCACAGATAGTCATGTTTTTTTCTGCCCTGCTGGAGTGGGTATCAGTAACACTGCTAAGGGTATCGGTAATACTGCCAATACTGTTCTTGGACATATTTATTCATAGTTACAACAACAAAAACAGTGAACACTGCTGAGCACTTGCTGGGTCCCGGCTGCTCTGTTAGATACTTTCCATTCATGACCGCAGTGAGTCCTCCCTACAATCCCCACAATCCCGTGAAGAGTGTGTTATTATTCCTACTTTGCAGGTGAGGAAGCTAAGGGTGAAGGGCTTAAAATCTTGCCTAAGCTTCCGCCAGGTGGAGCTGGGGTTTGAACTTCAGGCCTCTGACTCCACGGCTCGTACTCTATGTTATAATCTTGGTGGTGTCAGTCAGGAGCTGATGTAGTGGGACTCTTGAAAGCCCTCTTGGCTGTGGGGGATTCTGAGGCCCTTGGCAGCCAGCCCAGACTCCGCTGGCTCACAGCACGTGTCCACTCTGCTCACACATGTCAGAGACACACGCTGTGGCAAATCACCTGTAGACAGATGGCTGGAAGGCACCGCACCTTTTAAATTTATGATTTTTAATTTTTCACTAGTGGATTTCTTAGCAGCATAAACAAATCACTCAAACCCAGAGGTCTACCAAACCAATGTGATGGGTGGAGACACCTGTGATTCAGTTAGAACATAATTAATGCACAGGCTGCGTGTCTTGGGTTGTACAGAGTCCCCATTCCTAGCTCTGCCCCTGAGGGGTTTGCTGTGGGAAGATGGTGACCCTATTGACAGAGACATGGTCCTGCTGAAGGGAGTCCCAGGAGAGAGCCAGAATGCAAGGCAGCCAGGCATCTGGTGCCACAGAGTGGTAAATGGCGAGGCCTTCATGGGAAATGGCGTGGGTGGGCCTCTGCCTGTCCTTCCAGAAGGTCAGTTAGACACAGCCCCCGCTGGGCTTCCTGCAGCCACAGCTGACAGCTACATCATGACCCTCAAGTTCTTGGCAGGCGCTGGGGCATAGAAGCACAGTGAGCCCCTGGGCCTCCCCACCTGTGCACAGAGAGCACACACAGCCTGGCTTAGAGTAACTGCTTCGTAACAACTGAGTTCCTTGGAAAAGTCACTGAGCTGCCCTGAGTTTTTGTTCCCTTTCCTGCATAAAATACCTATGTCTCCCTGTGAAGATGCGACCAGGCAGCCTCCACAGAGCATGGCATGGCATCTGAGAAAACCTCAGTTTCTTGGGATTATGTTCCCACCCTCACCTCAGGAGAGGACCACTGATGTCCCTTTTATGCTCACATAGGAAGGGGCCTTAGGAAATACTCGGTGACTGGCTGTAATGTGAATCTATGCTATTTTATTCTAAAGCAGCGGTTCTCAACCTGTGGGTCATGACCCCTTTGTAACAATGAAAATACATCCTGTATATCAGATATTTACATTACAATTCATAACAGTAGCAAAACTACAGTTATGAAGTAGCAACAAAAATAATTTTATGGTTGGGAGGGGTCACCACAACATGAAGAACTGTATCGAAGGGTCACAGCATTAGGAGGCATTAGGAAGGTTGAGAACTACTGTTCTAAAGCATTTTTTAGATGACTTGCAAACGTCTACTTGGTTTACAATAAAAAATACAGTTAACTGTAACTCATACCAAAACAAAATGTACCTCTGATGACGATTCTTTTTCTGTTTGGGGCAGTTTTGAAGTTTTTCTTTTGTCATAAGAACAGGAATATACCTATGCACAGGCTCAAAATAGGAAATCTTTTTAAACAAAAAGGCAATGATTTATAAATGACTACAAATGGAACATGTAACATAAATCTAATGTGATTTGTTAAAATCAGTCTTGTCTGTCTGAAGTGCTATCGTATAAATATCACATGAAGGAAAGAAGGCTTTATCAGTGTCTGAGACAGCGCGTTTGTTCCAAGACAATTTGATGAGTCACAATAACGTGCTTCCTGAGACAGAAAAAAGTGCAGCATTACTCCTAAACCCTTTCAGTTCAGCCTCTCTCTCGGTAAAATAGCTGAGGATATGAAACTGAGAAAATATATTTGAGTACAGACAGCTTGTCAAAACTTATACACACATACATATATACACACACATATATACACATATATACATATATACATATACACACATACAC